TGAGTAGTTGGGGGTTGATAATCAGACCCCACAACAGTTTTCCCACGTTGGGGACAGAGTGAAACCACCCTGTCGTCAATGACGTAAAGAACAAATGAAATAAAATTAGTGTTTACAGAATCAAATACTATTAAAATTGAATGAATGGAGCAAAGTTGTGATTGAAGAAGCTTCCCGGAAAAACAGTCAGCATCTGAACCCGGTCAAAAACCTTTCCTAATCAAAAGGGGTTATTATTTATAATAAATATCTAGCCCCCAAATGTCGATTGTACGTGGTTTTGGATTTTCTTTGCCAGATTCAAAAACCCAGTCAAACCTCAATTCCAAAACTTGAAAAAAAAAAAAAAAAAGCCAGAAACTTCACTTTACGTGTATATATATAACAACGTAGTATCCATTCAATTTCTGCTATCAGTTTTAACTTGTTTTCGTTTTTTGCAATAATCATGTATCGTGCTATGGTCGTACCTACCTCTCCCGTTTTTTCACCTTCGAAATCCAAAATTCAGTCGGTATTCTGCAAATCAGAAGCGTCGAGCTTCTGCACGTCACCTCGCGTTTATGGACCACAATCATCTGCGACGACGACGATTGCAACACCGCGGTCTCCTTCGTCGTCGTCTTCGTTGTCGTCTCCGAAATCTCCTCCTTTGGCCCTTAGTATTCAGAAGCAACAGCCTTTGCCAGGCTTCGATTCGGTATTGAAGAAGAAGAGGCCGATGAAGTTAGAGATTCCGGCGGTGGTGTCCGCCACGCTGGGGTTTGCTGCGGAGACACCGAGAGGTGAGGAAGAGGTGCAGGTGGAAGGAAAAGGTTATTCGGTTTATTGCAAGCGAGGGAGGCGGGGGTTGATGGAGGACCGCTACTCGGTTGCTGTTGATCATGATGGAGATTCCAAACAGGTAATTTTCTAGGCATTGATTTCTGGGGGTGTGTGTTTAATTAACATGAAAAGCAGGAAAATGATGAAATTTCAGATTCATTAATCAATGTGTCTGTGTAAATACATGTTGTGTATAGAAGATTTAGGTTTCAAAGCAATAGTCAGAAAATTTCTCAATTCTTGCTTTTTCTGTGGTTGTGATGAAGGATGAATATGATGGTTTGAAGTGTTGTTTGGAAGATGATTTTATAATATAGTTATGGTGCTTCCATTAGAGGAGAGTTTTTTTCAGTTGTAGGTGTTGATGGGCTTAAACTATTAGTAGTTGCATTCTGTTGGAATATTTGAGAATTTGGTGAGAAGGTGTTGCTGGGTAGCGATGGAGGCTTGTTTGTTGGATGGGTGTATGGAAGCTTTCATGTTTCCTTGCTTGATTGAGATGTTGCTTTTGAAAATTAATTATACAAAATGTAGGCGAGTAGGTTAATGGCATTCCTTCAATGGGCAAAAGGAATGGATCAGGATAAGTCAATAAGATGAGGGAGATGGTTATTTGTGGTGTATATAAGAATATTTTTTTTGCTAAGCTCTGGTTTGATGGTTTTGTGATTCTGACCTAATTGGATTGTTGTTTTTTTATCATGCAGGCTTTCTTTGGTGTTTTTGATGGACATGGGGGTCCTAAAGCTGCTGAATTTGTGGTGAAGAATTTGGAAAAGAATATAAAGAATGAAGTGTCAAACAAATGTAGAGAGGAAATTGAAGTTGCAATCAGAGATGCATACCTGACAACAGACATGGAGTTTCTGAAGCAAGGTGTAGGTGGTGGCACTTGCTGTGTTACTGCATTGATACAAAGAGGTGATCTTGTCGTATCAAATGCTGGTGATTGTCGTGCTGTTATGAGCCGAGGAGGTGTTGCAGAGGTTCTAACATCTGATCACCAACCTTCAAGGGAAGATGAGAAAGACAGAATTGAAGCTCTGGTAATTACCACTTCTCTTGGGCATCACCGTATTAAATTCAACTCAATGGCTAAAGTTTTGGTTATAATGTGTTTTATTTTACAGGGTGGCTATGTGGATTGTTGCCATGGTATTTGGAGAATTCAAGGATCTCTTGCTGTATCTAGAGCAATTGGAGATCAATCTCTCAAACGATGGGTAATAGCTGAACCTGAGACTAGATTACTAAGAATTCAGCCTGATTGCGAGTTCCTAATCCTAGCCTCAGACGGCCTTTGGAACAAGGTTATTTTTTAAAACATAAACTTGTTTGTGATGCTTTCTGTTGAATGAATTTTCCATGAATCTGTTTTTCCAATCAATTTGATGCTAATGAGTTTCTTCCCATTTTCCTTATAGGTTTCCAACCAGGAGGCAGTGGATTTAGTTCGGCCTTCATGTGCAGGTGTGGATAGACCAGACCTATTTTCTGCTTGTAAAAAGCTTGTAGAATTGTCATCATGGAGAGGCTCCTTCGACGACATAAGTGTGATGATAATTCAGTTAGATCATTTTGCTTAATGATCTGCCAATTTTTTATCCTCTTCTAAATATACATGCTCATTCTTATTGATCGGAAAGTTGTGGCTAATGGTGCTGAAAGAATACAGACAACCGTTCTCAAAATTGCTTTGATCTACAATCTTGTACGGGCGGGGTTGAGGGTGGTGGTCGCTGTGGCATTGGTGGTTCAAGTTCGACAACAAGAACGATTTTAAACATGCCACTGTAATTGTTTTCTGGGCAAATTTTTAACAGGTCATTTTGTTGAAAGAAAATGTTCTGGATGCCAACCTTGGAAGAAACTTTCTGTGAATATGGGAACAATGGTTGATTTATTTATTTCTAACAATGCCTCAATAAATCTAGTCTTGTGGTTCTCAAGCTGCATCCATTTGAAGATTAATGCCTATCTGCCTCTAAGGTGGAAATGTGTGGAGATAGATGACCCCTGCACAGTAGTGTTTTTATAAAGTATAAGTGGCTTGAATTCTTCTATTTTGGCCTATAAAGTTATTGATTTAAAGGAACTTTTGAATTCATGCGGTGACTATAAATTCTAGGACGGAGGCGTCAGACTATCAGAGTACCGAACCTTCTAATAGGTTGTTTAGTAGTCATCCTCAAAATGGTCTTTAATTTTTTTTTTTATAAAAATTAAGATTGATATACATTATTGATATATATTTTTTTAAATAAATAATTATTATACTGATATTTTAGTATATGTTATAAAGAAGAAAAAATACTAACCCTAAAATTTGAACCTCTGCACTCACCAAGAAGTGGTCTCCATTAAGAGAAAAATTTTGTTATATCTAGAGATATCATTAATATGATATCTTCAATCAATCATACTATGTCACATCATTATTTTTATTATTAAGTGAGTTAACATGACTAATGAAGTGAAATTTTTTTTAATAATGTAACATACTAGAGTTAGGATATCACATCAACAATATCCGGATATACAACAGACTTTCTCCATTAGAGGGGGAGCGGCTGCCATTCCTTGTGCGTGAAAATCGTAATCCTCAAAATAATGCGCGAGGAGTAAAATGGGCTAATAGCTAATACACAAAAGAAATGGGCTTTTGTTCTCGTCTGCTTCTTCTTTCCCTTTTCTTTTCTTTTTGGGTAAATATGGGCTTTTGTTCTCTTCCGTCTTACTTTATCACCTCGCGAGTCACGAGGGTTCCAGAATCCAGAATCCAGAGTCCAGGCCTCACTCGTCCAACGGCAAAAGTTTGTTTTTAGTACTTCACATTATCAAGTTTAAAGGGTGTAGTCTCTCATTTTATATTATAAAAATTTTTTATTTTTTATTTTATTAAATTTATAGATTTTATCCCTTCATTTTATATTATGATACTTTTAACCCTTTATCTATTAAAATTAAAGAAAATAGACCTCGTTTTGTAATATTTTGTTAATTTTATTAGTTGACTGTTAACTTTATTAGCTAACCGTTGATTGACTACTAACTGACAAAAACATTCTTTCATTTAACATAATTAACAAAACTAATTTTATAATATTTCATTAATTCTATTAACTGACTATTAATTTACTGTTAGTTGATAAAAATTTATTTTCAACTAACAAAATTAATAGTCAGTATAAAGTAAAAGTTATTTTTTTCAATTTTAATAAGTTAGAGGCTAAAACCAATAAATCTAATAAGGTGAGGGGTTAAAAGTGTCATAATATAAGATAAAAAGTTAAAATCTTCAAATTTAGTCAGGTGAGGGGTTCAAAGTAGGTTTTTGCCAATTATTTCGGCTAAAGTAATACCAAAAAAATTGCCTTTGTCTCTTGTACATGTTACATTAGTAGGGAATTCTGGAGGTAGGAAAACCTTTTTGCATTGCAGGGATTGGAATAATAGGAAAGGATTGTAACTAAAAAAAAAAGAAAAAGAAAAAGAAAAAAAGTTGCTAAGAGTGGTTCAATTGCAGTGATGTTATATTATGGTATATACAATAATTAAAAAATAAAACAAAACATCTCTAAAATATAAAAATAAAGAAGATTCGAATTTTTTGAAAACAAAATTGATAAGAAGTACATTTACATAGTAATTGCGCAAACACAAACTACAAACGATTTATGTACCCAAAAAAAAAACTACAAACAGATTTTTCATTTGCTTTCCGTAGAATTAAGTTTTTTTTTTTTTTACAAGGATAATGATTAATAAATTAATTTTATTAATTGTTAATAATTGAGGATTTGATCTCCAAATTTAATAAACATCCCACCTCCTTTAACGAAGCGTGTGACCATCGAATTATTTGGTGGAGTTCTTCCGTAGAATTTAGTTAATAATATTGTTTACTATTTCTGACCATCGGTGCTCAGACATGCCTGGGTAAAACTTGTAATTACCCGATGGGCAAAAAAAGAAAAACAACTTCCCCATTTTTGGAAGTTTTGAAATGCAATGAAATGATTATTCTCCTAACAAAAGAAGAGTGCGTGACAATTGTTGGGGTTTTTTTTTTTTTTTTTTTAAATATCAAGAAAATGAGATTCAAACTCAATCTGGACGATGTGGACGTATTCATGCTATTTTTTTTGTTTATGCAAAAGCATGTAAGTTATTAAACTGACTTATTAGCTAATGTGAGAAAATTGTTAACAGATACTGTATTAGAATGATATTTTAGTCGTCCTTTTGAAATCAGATAGTTGCTTACGTATAAGCTCACGTTGAATTATTAGTAATTTAAATAATTTAATAATATTTTTTTATAAAATTAAAAGATTTTAAATTTAAATTACATTACATATAAGTAAAATAAATTAAAAAATAAAACAAAACATCTCTAAAATAT